TGCCGCTGGCAGGAAGGGGCCATGGACCCGCTGCCCTGAGCCCAAGGCCGCGGGGTCCCTGCTGCCCTCGCTGTGGGCCAGCCTGTACTGGTCCCTTGGGGGGCCCAGGACTGGGTCCAGGCTGCCGGTGTCCCTGCCTCTGAGCCCTGGGGTAGCTACCGTGTTTTCCCGAAAGTAAAACATCCTCCGAAAATAAGACCTACTTACAGGTTTCCTTCTGAGTGAAATATAAGGCATCCCCCTGAAAATAAGCCCCCCCCCCCCCAGGCTCTGTCTCAGAATGCCATTGCTAAATATGAGAGATTTGGTCCACTGATTCTGAAAGAAATGGAGTCATAAGAAATTCACCAGGAAATTCAGGAATTGGATTGTTATGATGATGTTCCAGAAGATGGTGACATGATTGTCATTGAATAAATGAGTAAATTCTTGATACTGTAGGATTCACAGTTTGTCTGGTTTGTGTTGACAACTACCGTGCTACCATACCGTCTACAGGTGATAAATTTCCTTTATTTTCATTTAACAATAAATGTGTACCATATTCTTCTTCATAGAAAAATAAGACATCCCCTGAAAATAAGACGTAGCTCATCCTTGGGAACAAAAATTAATATAAGACACTGTCTTCTTTTCAGGGAAACAAGGTAGCTGGTGGTGTCCCCAGACTGTTCCTGAGCAGGACCCGAGCAGACACCAGGGGGCGCCCACGGCCTTCCCAGCAGCTTCCTGCCTGCTCACTAGACCCCTTTCCTGCATGGAGAACCGGCTCCCAGGAGGGGGCCTGCTAAGCGACTTGACATTCCTCCCCATCACCTTTATTTATTTAAAAAATATATACATTTTTATTGATTTCAGAGTCAGGGAGAGGGAGAGATAGGGACATCAATACTGAGACAGAATCATGAATCAGCTGCCTCCTGCATTCCCTACAGGGGAAATCGAGCCTGAAACCCGGGCAAGTGCCCTAATGGGCATCGAACCCTGACCTGGTTCATCAAACCCTGACCTCCTGACCCGGCTGGCCAGGCCTCTCTTTTTATCCAGCCTCTCCAGGCCCTATCCCCCGCTCCACAGCTACTTCTCTAGCTCAGCTTCAAGGGTTTGACTTTTCTGTTTGTTCGATTCCACATGTAGGTGAAACCACGCAGCGTTGTCTCCTCGTCCGACGGCCTCACTCCACCATGTGCCCTCAGAACGTACTTCCTGTCCGTGTGCGGCCTTCTTACCGCTGGTGCTTCCCGCGGTGGCGATGGCGAGGGAGCCGCATCAACGTGGGGGCACGTGTGCCTTCGAGATGCTGATTTCCTCCTCTGGGCGCATCTGGACCCGGAGGAGGGGCGGGTGGGCCAGGCAGCTCTCTCCTGCGAGGACCAGGGGTTGAAGTTCACGTCCAGGAAGCCTGCCCGCGCCTGGCCCCCGTGGGGCGAGGGGACGATGCACCACATCCCTGACCCTGAGGCTGGTTTCCGTGTGGACCCGCTGGGCCTCGCAGCCGAGACCTGGCGGGACTCCTCTGGACGTTCCGGGTGTTTCTGGACGAGACAGCACGCGACCAGGAGACTGAGAGACGCAGATGGTCTGGGTGTGGGTGGGCCTCGCCCAATCAGGTGAAGGCCGGAGCAGAACTGAAGCCTGAGCTCCCTGGCGGGGGGAGGGGGCGCGCGCAGTCAGCCTTCAGACGCAAATGCAACTCTCTCCGTCAGGGGGCGCTCTCCAAGCCCCCCGAGGCCCGAGTCAGTAAGCCCCTTTCTCTGTTCACATCCTGTCAGTCCTGCGGCTCTCTCTGCAGCCGGCCGAGCGCCCTGACCCAGGGCCGTGGGACATGCCCCCCGACAGTGTGGCCTGTAGCCGGCGGGGCCAGGCCCTCCCGGTGCCCCCCAGGATGGAGGCCTCCACTGACCAGTCCCGGGAAGAAGCCCCCCTCAGAGCAGCTCCACATGGACCCTGAGCAGGTCCGCACACAGCCCGGGACCCACGAGGGGAAGGCCGAGCGGGCCTTGCTGGGCGGGTGCTGCCAGGGCTGCCAGGAGGTCCCCGACGCTAAGCAAGCACCAGCCTACAGGAGAGGCCAGCACCTCCCACTGAGAGACGACTGCGAGGGCGGGTCTCTGTGGGCCCAGGAGTCCCGTGCCCCCACATCCCAGGCCTCCTTCTTCCAGGGGCCAGGGGGAAGCCCGGGGGTGGGGGGGAGGGCAGGAGGACTCCTCCTGGTGTCACCTGGTCGATTCAGTTCCCGGAGCTGAATCCTCCCAGGGGGTGGGGACTGGCTGTGTGCGCTGGTTCCAGCCGGCATTCCCGGTCTGTCCAGGCTGCCCCCCTCACTTCCGTCAGGTGCCCCTCAGCCCACCACGTCACAGAGGCGAAGGCTCGTGTGTCTATGGTGTCAGCGTAAAAAAGTCAACATTAGCCTATTGTGAACAACAGGGGGGCGCCTTCAACTAATACATTCCAGCTACAATACCCAGCAAACTCACCGGAAATGGCTCAGCCGGCCCTGCCCAGCCCGTTGGGCTCAGTGGATAGAGGGTCAGCTTGCGGACCAGGTCCTGGGTTCGACTGCAGTCAAGGGCATGTATCTCAGTTGCAGGCTCCTCCCCGGCCAGGCCCTGGTCAGAGTGCATCCAGGAGGCAACCCACCGATGCGCTTCTCTCACGTGGATGTCTCTCTGCCTTTCCCTCTCCCTTCCACTCTCTTTGAAGATCAATGGAAAAATATCCATAGGTGAGGATTAAAAAGACAATAGGATAGTGGAGAAATTCTTGGGGTTAGCATGAGAGCTGAGTGGATCCTGGGACCTTGTGAAAAGCCGCAGTAATCCAGATCTCGTGGTATTGGCTCAGGGACAGACAGACCCTGCAGAGCTAGAAACAGCCTGCAGGGTGAGGATGCTGGAGAGGGGACAGTGATAGCCTTGCAGCGAAACAGAGGACGGGCTTTTCAAAAACCTAGAGAGAGACACGGATGAAAGGTACCCCTGTCTCCCTTAAAAATCAGTTTCACAGAGAGGAAGGGAGAGGGAGAGAGAGTTAGAAACATCTATGAGAGAGAAGCATCGATCAGCTGCCTCCTGCACGGCCCCTGCTGGGGACTGAGCTGACAACCCAGGCATGTGCCCTTGATCGGAATTGAACCCGGGACCCTTCAGTCCGAGGGCCAACACTCTATCCACTGAGCCACCCTGGCCAGGATCTTGCCCCTGCATTTGCACGCACACACAGGCCTAGGTAGCTAAACATGAAAAGCAAAATAATAAAGATTGTGCAGGATAACAAGGAGCCTGGTGACCCGGTGGCCTTGTGCACGTGGGCGGCTGGGACCGGAGGACAATCCTGGAGGGTGGCTTGCCGCTGTTGGGGGGCGGCAGCCAGTAGTCCTCGTGGCGGGGGCAAGATGGGGGGGGGGCGTAAGGGTCCCTCCAGCCCCGTCCAACGAGGTCCTCATCTCGTCCCTCCCGTCCTCTGTCACGGGCTCCGGTAGCTTCCGTGTACTCACCCCTGGACCAGTTCAGCACCGTAACCCCTCCCGTCACCGGGGCCGGTGGAGAGGATAGGGGGCAGGAGGGTGACCGTTCACCCATTCACACGAGAAGTTACCAACCGGCCACAGGCCAGGCCCCATGCAAAACCGAGTGAGGAGGGGGGGAGAGGGGGAGGGAGAGGGAGGGCCTGCAGGGTGCAGCACCCTCTGGAGGGTGACGGCCCTCCTGCACCCGTGGTGGAGGCTGGCGCGGGGTCTGGCGTGTGCCCGCTGCCAGGAGGAGACAGAGTGTGAGCTCAGACGGACTCGGGCTGGGAGGCGAAGGTGCCGTGTCTGGCGGGAGCCCCAAAGCCCAGCTGCTGGGCATCTCGGAGAGGCCCGGGCCCCTGGTCTGAGGGCATTCCCTCGGTACCAGCTGGCCTCTACGGGGAGGGAGATAAGCCAACGCCCTAAATCCTCACGACCCACAACCCCAGCCCCGCTCCCCTGGACGCCTCCAGGCTGGTCCTGACCCCAGACGGGCCCGCCACCCGCAAGGCTGCAGCCTGGTCTCCACTGCGGGTCCTGGCCACCAGGGCCCCTGCCTCAGGACAGGAGGCCTCTCTCCGCACCTGCATGAAGCCCCCGGTCTCCACGGCCGTGGCCCCTCACGCCAGGGCTCGGAGCCCCTGGGCCCCTCGTCTGCGCCCCTTCCTGGGGTGACTGCCGATCCCGGGCTGAATCTCATGCCTCCCTGAAGTCCCCTGTTTGTCACCAGGGACATCTCAGAGGCTGGTGTTCCCCCAACCTCCCAACCCCCTTCCCCCCACCCCCGGACCTGGGCAGGGAGCTGAGCTCATCTCCATGGAGCACTCAGCCTGGCCGCCAGCCTGGGGAGCAGGGGCCCTGACCTTGACCCTGGACCAGCGACTTCAACTGTTCCCTCATTTCCCCTTGGCTGACCTTCACCGCAGCTCAGAAGGCGAATGCCTCTTCCCTCCTCCACAGGTGGACAGACAGGCCCCAGGGGGACAGGACACCCACACCTGCCGGTGTCCCCTGCTGTTAGCCCCGTGGGCAGCCTGTTCCTGCTGCACCCCTCTTCCTCGCCAAGGGGCTGCCTGATCCTCTCGGCACCTCACCCAAGGCCTCCTGGCCCCCCGTCTTGTTTGTTTGTTTAGAGAAAGGGAGAGGGAGAGGGAGATAGAAACATCAGTGATGACAGAGAATCCTGGATGGGCTGCTGCCTGCACACCCCCCACTGGGGATCAAGCCCGCAACGCAGGCATGTGCCAGACAGGGAATTGGACCTTGACTCCTGCTTCATAGGTGAACACCCCACCACTGAGCAATGCTGGCCGGGCTGCTCCCGTCATGCAGAGCGGACAGACCTCCAGGGTTAGAGAGCAAACTTCCCCGGTGGGGTCCTCTGAATGCCACCACCACCCCACCCCACCCCGCTCACCCCCCCTTTTCCCCCAAACCTCCAGCTGGCGCCCCGCCCTCCGGCGAGGCAGGGACAGAGGCGGAGCCGGCTGCTGCTGGGCAGGAGTTTATTGAAAATTCACAGACACAGGAGCTCTGAGCGGGGTCGCGGGGTCGCAGCTTGGAGCCTGGGTCAGGGGGTGGGTGGAGGGAGTCCCCAGATGCCAGCAGCCCCCACACGCACGCACCGGGAGCTCCCTCGGAGCCCTTCTTGCTGGGTGTCAGGTCGGAGGGACCCAGGGACCCGGGTGGGGCACACGGGGTGGGGGTGCAGCCGCGGGAAGCCGGGGTGAAGCCCAGGAGGAGCCAGGGGCCAAAGCAGGTGGAGGGCTGGGCGAGAGGGGCCTGCACGCAGCTCGCCGCCCTCGATGATGCGAACCTCGCCAGCCTGGTCGCCCGCTCATGGCTCCGGGGCCCAGGGCGGACGCCCGCTCTGCCCCCCCCCCCCCCCCCACGGCATCTCGGTCCTGAAAGAGCCCTTCTGGCGCTCGGCGCCTCAGTAGTCGGCGAGCGGGCGGCTCAGTAGTCGGCGAGCGGGTACCGCAGGAAGATGAAGACCAGGACGATGCAGGAGGCGGCCAGGGCAGAGCTGGTGATGTTGAACAGCCGGGCGGTCTTGGCGTCCTCCACGGCGCCGTTCAGGTCATTGAGCAGCTTCTTGTCCCGGACCTGCAGCCAGAGGAGGGGTGAGGGAGGGAGGGCACACCAGGCCTGTGGTGACCATAGGAGGGGTGAGGGAAGGCGCACCAGGCCTGTGGTGGCCAGAGGAGGGGTGAGTGAGGGCGCACCAGGCCCGTGGCAGCCAGAGGAGGGGTGAGTGAGGGCGCACCAGGCCCGTGGCAGCCAGAGGAGGGGTGAGTGAGGGCGCACCAGGCCCGTGGCGGCCAGACGAGGGGATGTGAGGGAGGACACACCAGGCCTGTGGCAGCCAGAGGAGGGGTGAATGAGGGCACGCCATGCCTGTGGCAGCCAGAGGAGGGGTGAGTGAGGGTGAGCCAGGCCCGTGGCAGCCAGAGGAGGGGATGTGAGGGAGGACACGCCATGCCTGTGGCGGCCAGAGGAGGGGTGCCTGAGGGAGGGCGCACCAGGCCTGTGGCAGCCAGAGCAGGGGTGAGGGAGGACACACCAGGCCCGTGGCGGTCAGAGGAGGGGTGAGGAAGGGCCCACCAGGCCCGTGGCTGGGCAGGCAGAGAGCAGGGGCCAGGGCAGCGGGGGACCCGCTTCAGCACCCCTTCCTGCCGGCCGGCCTGTGGTTCCACTGGACAGAGTCCTTCCCGTGGGCACTGCCACATACACAGGCCCGTCGAGTGGGAGACAGGGAAGGTGAATACGGTGCCACGTTACCCCGGCGAGCCGTCTGAGGGACAGCACACGGGAAAGCTTTGTACTTTTTTAGTCTGAAATGTTTGTTGTTTTTTTAAATATATTTTATTGATTTTTTACAGAGAAGAAGGGAGAGAGATAGCTAGAAATGTCCATAAGAGAGAAACATCGACCAGCTGCCTCCTGCACAACCCTACCGGGGATGTGCCTGCAACCAATGTACATGCCCTTGACTGGAATTGAACCTGGGCCCCTTCAGTCCACAGGCCAAACTGGTTCCGGTGGTCTGAAAGTTTTTTATATGAAACCCCGGGTGAGTCACACTGCTCCGTACTTGGAAGTGGAGCTCTGAAGTGCTCACACCTTGGGCTTGACGGTTATGTGTTGATTGCATCTCAGTGAAGCTGGAGAGAACTAACTAACTAACTAACTAACTAACTAACAAGGAAGCTGGTCTCAGAGAGACGTGATGGGGCAATGAGACAGCGCATGCATCATCCTAAATGGATCCGTCCCAACTAATCAAAAATCAACCAGGGCCCCAGCTGGCCTCGCTCAGGGGTTGAGCATCGACCTATAAACTAGGAGGTCACAGTTTGATTCCCAGTTGGGGCACAGGCCTGGATGGTGGGCTGGATCCCCAGGGTGGGGTGTGCAGGAGGCAGCCGATCTGTGACTCCCTCTCATCATTGATGTCTCTCTCCCCTCTCCTTTCCTCTCTGAAATCAATAAAAAGGCATTAAATAAATAACAACAACCACAGCCCCTGAGGAGAGAGGGAGGAGACAGGCAGAGATGTGGCGTGGCAGGAAGGGGACATCTTTACGTTAATGGCTTGGTGGGTGGACAGACAGACAGAGGCAGGGGCTGGTGCGAGGAGGAAGGTGGGCGGATAGTCAGGGACACTGATGGACCAGGTGTGTGAGGAGAGACATGAGAGGAGAGGAAACAAGCCTGCACCAGGGTGTGGGTGAAGCAGGTGGACAAAGGTGCCGGATGGGCTGGGTGGGGAAAAGGGAGGAATGGGTCACAGAGAGAGGTTAGGAGGAGCCAGGAGAGTGTAATGAGTGGGTAGGTGAGGGGTAAGAAAGGGGGAAAGAAAAGGAGAAGCTGTGGACAGAGGGTGGATGTGTGCGATGGTGGGTGGGCATGTGCCATGGAGGGTGGGCGTGTGCGATGGAGGGTGGACGAGTGCATGGAGAATGGACGTGTGAATGAAGGTGACAGATATGTGTCCTGGCGAATGAAGGGATGGGAGTGGAAGCGATGGTGGTAAGAATGGAGAGGGGGATGGTGGGTGAAATCACAGTAAAAGTGATACAAGAGAGATGGCGATGGGCATGGGACTGGGCTAATGGCGTGACCTGGTCTTAGTTCCGTTAATCCTCTCAGAGTCACTTTTTGGTGGTACATCCACCTTTGCCTAGGATGCACAATGGGGGGGAGGGCGGTGATGGATGTACTCTGGGATGAACTGAATAAACAAAGGAGTCCAGGGGGAGGGGGAAGAAAGTGGGTGGATGGATTGAAAGATCGGTATAAAGCTTCATAACAAAAAATGGGTGAGTGTGTGGGCAGGTAGGTGGATGGACGAATGACATCAATGGCTACAGGGAGCACAGATGAATAGATGAAAGGATGGATGGACAGATGGATGGGTGGATAGATAGATGAATGGATAGAGGAGAGGTGGATTGGTAAATTGAATTCAGCATGTGGAGTGAAAGAAGAGGAGGAAAAGAAAAAAGGCAAGAGAATTCACAATCATAGATGAATGGGTACATGACCAATTGTATACATGGATGGATGAGAAGGGAGGGGAAATAGACAAAAATTATAGGGGATAGACTGCATGGATGGGTGGGGTCAAGGGTGCAAATGAGTGGAAAGGGGTACGTGATGAGTGGGTGAGGTGCAGCAAAAGAGCAGTGGAGGGAAGGGAAGTAGATGGCTGGAAGGATGAACAGATGTACTGACGTGTGGACTGGGGGATGGGGTGGAGCTGGTAAAGTAAAGTGGAACAAGTTACTGAGAAAGTGAGGTTAGATGAACAGTTAAGTGAATTGATGTATAAGGAGGGGATGGGGAGAGTGGGAAAGGAAGGAGACTGTTAATGAAGATGTAAAAACATGGATGGATGGATGGATGGATGGATGGATGGATGGATAATGGATGGGTGGGTGATTGGATGGATGAGTGGATGACTGAATGATGGGGGATGGATGATGGGTGAATAAATAAATGAATAGATAGATGGGTGGATAAATGATTAGGTAGGTGGATGAATGATGAACAGCTGATGGAGGATGGAAGGGTGGATGGGTGGATGGATGGAAGATAGATGGATGGATGGATGGATGGATGGATGAATGATGGGTGGATGGATGGATGGATGGATGACAGATGGGTGGATGAATGAATAGGTAGGTGGATGAATGGCAAATGGCTGATGGAGGATGTATGGGTGGATGGATGGATGGATGGATAGATGATGGATGGATGGATGATGGATGGGTGGATGAATGGATGGATGGATAGATGATGGATGGATGGATGATGGATGGGTGGATGAATGGATGATGGATGATGGCGGGTGGGTGTGGATGGATGGTGTTGACATTCTGAAAGGAGGGAAGGGCCAATATGTATATACAAGAGCTGACCCAGCATCCTCCCTCCTACCTGTCCTTTCTGGCTTTCCTGTCACTGAGAAGTCGCACAGCCTCCTGGGCCCACAACCTCGTTAGATCTCCTCTCCTGTCACCATCCTGTACTGGGTCCAGCCACATGCCCTCTTGCCTGGACCCTGCTGAGAACCCTGACTCCTCTCTGCCTCTGGGCTTCTCTCACCGCCTCCCTTCTCCCCAACAGCTCTGCTCACACAACCGCAACCGCCTCACAGTGGTCCTTGTTCTGCACTGCGCGCCCCCCATCCGCCTTTCCTGGACCACCTTCCTCTGCTCCCCACAGAGCACGGGCCTCACTGTCCCTGACTCCTCCCCTCGTGTCTCCATGTTTCCTCCTTGGGAACACCTGCCCCCTCATTATCCTTCCCTGGACAGTGTGGGAAGCATCCCATACCAACCCCAACCTCACCCTCCCGTTCTCTGAAACACGGGGTGCTCATTGCACCTTGTCCTGTCCATGCACTGCTAACCCAGCACCCCAGGCCCCTAGGCTGGCCAGCCCTGCCTGGGGCCCTGATGGCAGTAAGAAGGGGAGGGTCTGGTGGGTGGACAGCCATGGAGGGGATGGGTGTCTGCAGGGGAGGGGGCTCGGCCAGAGGGAGTCAGTCGAGTATTTGCAGAAGAGAGACCCTGGTCTTCCCTAAGCCCTTGGGCTGGGGGGGGGGGGGGCAGGTTGCAAACGGAGGTGTGATCCCAGGACAGATGGGCTGGGTGTTCAGTGAGGCCGGGGAAGGTTGGCATGGATCTAGGGGGCTTGCAATGCCAAGACAGGGGGTGGCGAGGGGGGCGGGAGTCATGAGGAGCAACTTGTGCAGACAGCATGGACGGACAGCTGATGCCTGTCTGCCTCCCTTGGACACTGGGTTGAGCAAAACTAGGCTGCACCCCGTGGCAGGCCCAGCCCGCAGTGAACGTGCTGCCCGGCATCGGGGAGGGCGGGCGGGGGCGGGTGGTATGAAGATGGATAAGCACATGTGCGAGGCAGCGATCAATTTACCAACCCATCCATCCTCCATCTATTCGTCTTTATTTCACACCCACAGGACGCCAGCCTCTGCCCGGCCACCGTGAGCCTGTGGAGTTTCTGTTGGTTTGTGAACGATGAGGGATGGGCTCTGGGAGGCAAGGTGGCGTCTCAAGAGCTCACTGCTCTGAGGGACCCACTGGGAGCACAGCCAGGGCCTCGGACCCAGGCCTGCCGGGTGCCCATGGAGGTGCTATGACCAGCTGCACATGCTGTGGGTGCCGCCGGCTGGGCTGAGCAGCTGGTGGACAGATGGATGAACTCCCCAGAGTGAGAGCCTGAGCCGCCAGCACTGTGTGCCCGCCCTTCCAGGTGAGCCCCGAGCCTCTGCCCCTTGCTGCCCACGAGGAAGAACACAGGCGAGCAGCCCCAGGTGGAGGCGTCGAGTGCCTTCTGCCCCTCAGGAGCACCAGCCCCGACCTGCCCCCTGCACCGCACAAGCCCGCACCACTCAGAGTCCATGACCTACCTACGCCTGCAGCAGATGGGCCTGCCCCGTGCCAGCCGGCCGCCCACAGCCAGGCCCAGGAAGGAAGGGACGCTTCCGAACAGGAGCCGTGCTGCCGGCCCAGGCCCACAGGCGGCGGGCACCAGGGGAGGCCGAGCTAGGGCTGGCCTGGGAGTCCCCACCCAGCTCCCAGGGATCCCCCCTTTGCTGCCTCTGCAGCACACACAAACACACACACCACACATGCACACTCATGTACACTCACACCGCAGGCACTCAGTGCACACATACACATGCACACACGACAAGCATACAGCTATATGCATGCCCATGCTCATGCACACATGCTCAGACACATGCAGTTCCACTCACACATGCATGCACATGCACACCTGCACATATGTCCACATTCATGCTCACACAGTGTGCTCACACACACACTCACACATACATGTGCACACACCGGCATGCATGCACACACGTTGTGCACACATGCATGCTCACACACATTCACTCCCATAACATGGTTCCACATGGTGGAACCCAGGACAAGTTCACAGGCCGGAACGGAGGGGTGAATGGCGGTCAGCGATGCCGACGCCGATGGTGAGTCAGGAGGAGGGGAAGCCAGGCGGTCAGATGCACAGTGCCAGGGCGGGCGGGCGGCTCACAGAGGCACAGCGACAGAACAGTCCACATCCTTCCATCTGCCCCGCCTCTCTGGCCCCGCCCCTCCCCTCCCTGCAGCCCCCATGGACCGTCCCCAACCCGCTGCCCCCGCCTTGCTGGTCAGCTGCAGTGGGTGAAATGAACTGGACCTTGGGCCTCACATTCGGGAAGGGGATGATCTGCTGGCTGCAGGCCAAGCCCATCCTGAGCCACAGGGGATGGGGGACTCTTCCTGGGTGGGGCTCCAGCAGCCTGGGCTCTCTGTCCTCACACACACACGTGTACAGACCTCTCCCCCATGTGTGAGTGGTCACAGCTTCCCTCCTGTGACCGGTTTCTACCGTGCCCTTGGTGGGGGCCTGTCTGCTCCTGGCCAGCTCCTCTCAGAGCAGCAAGGGGCTCTGGGCTCTGGGGCCATGCCTACCCGGGCAGGCTGCGGGCTCTGAGAGTATGGACAGGACGTGCTGACGGCTTTCACCAGGCTCCCTGGCAGACCATCCAGAACTGTGTGAAGGGGGGGGGGGGGGGGCGTGACTGTGACCAGTCTGTGTGGCCGCCCTCCACATGTCTGTCCTGCATCAGATTCCCCAGCGAGGGGCTTGGACAAGGTGTCCAGCCGCCCTGACATATCCTCCTCCTGTCAGGGGGAGGACTCCAGGGCCCCTCCACAGCCCCATCCATCCAGGGCAGCTGTCCAGGTCTAAACCCCCCCCCCCCCCCGAACTGCACCCAGAGCACAGGCCCTGGGCCCTGAGTTTGTCCCCTAAGCTGGCAGCACAGAGAGCCGGGCCCTGTGGAGCCAGAGCCCAATTAAGACCCCCGGGAGCTCCCAGCTCAGCACAGGAGGGCCGCCAGAGCTCCCCACACCCTCCTCGCTCCTCAGCCCCCTTGGCTGCACCCGCTGCACCCACGGCTCATCTGAGAGGGTGAGGTAGAGCGACCCCCCTAGCCTGCCCTGCACCCCCACCCGCCTCACACTCACCTTGAGGGAGTAGGCCAGGGCGATGAAGCCCAGGCAGCAGAAGTTGAGGTAGACGAAGTTGAAGATGGACCACAGGTAGTAGTCGTTGACCTCGCTGGTGTCGGGGTACACCTCGATGACCGTCGTGGGGTTGGTCATCGTCTTCTTCTCCGCCAGGTGCTTGCAGACCTGGGGCTGGCCAGCCCCCCGCACGCTGTCTGCCTTGCCGCCCTTGGCCTCCATGGGGAACAGCGTGGGTGCCATCGGGGGAGAGGCCGAGGGCTCGGGGGCCGGGCCCGCGGGCGCCTGCAGGGCGGGGGGCTTGGACACGCAGGCGAAGCAGCCCTTGGGTGACCCCGCGGGGGGCCTGGGGATCCAGAAGGCCCCGTCCAGGGGCACGCGGGCTTCCTGGGCGCCGTCCGTGGTGCTGGCCGGGGCTCCCAGCGGCGCTGGGCACGGCCGGGCCCTGGGCCTGCGGGGCGAGAAGAGGAATGGGAACCGAGTGCGCTCTGGCCGCCCGCAGCGTCTCCCCTGCAGCCCAGGGCAGCCCCGAAGGACAGGACATTCCCGGGGAGGCGGCCAGCTGCCCGCCCGCCCGCCACCTGCCTCCCGTGTCACACCGAGGCCCTTCAAGCAGCCTTGGCACGGACATTGGGGCCTTTTCATGGCTTTGCCAACTGCACACACACGCACCCACTGACATCAGCCCCCGTCCCCCCGCCCCCAGGCCCGCCTGGCCTACGTTGCCATACACAGAGCCAGCACCCCGCCCGGCCCCCGAGCGGCGGCCCACAATGAGGCCTCTGCCTGCCGCGCTGGCAGCGAGCAGCGGCCCGGACACCTGCAGCGGAGACGCTGACACATCGCGGCCCGGACCGCATCTGTGCGCTCCCGGAGGAGGAGGCGCCGCCAGCCAAGGCTCCCCACGGAGACGCGCAGCCCGAGAGGCAGCCGCTCGGGCCCGGGCGCCGGGCGGAGGGCGAGCGCACAGGAGGCTGCGGGGCTCCGACCTGCGCCCACGACGCCCCCGCCCCCACCCCGGCTCCCCCCGGGCTCCCCGCGGCCCCGGGACCCCCGAACCCCGCGCCGGCACCCTCAGGGCGCCGCCCTCCCGGAACCGCGCCGGATGCCAATGTCACGGCCGAAGGAGCGCTTTTCCAAGGATGCGCTGCGCCCATCGCCCCCGGAGTCTCCGGGGTCTTCGGTCCCCGCGCCCCCAACCCGGTCCCCGCGCCCCCGTGGTCTCCGGTCCCCAAGCCCCCGGGGTCTCCAGCCCCGCGACCCCCAGCCGGTCCCTGCGCGCAGCCGGACGCAGCGGTCTCACTCACGGCAACTCCGGGTTGGCGGCCTGGCCCTGCGCTCTGTCCGCGCGTCCTTCCTCGCCCCGCGGCCGCGGTCTGTCTGGCCGCTCCGCGTCCTGGCGTCCCGACCTCGGCGCGGGGAGCGCGGATGGGGGGCAGGGAGCGCGGGCTGCGGGTGGCGCTGTCCCCAGAGCCTGCGCGCCCTCCGCAGCGCCAGCCAGGCGGGCGGCGCGGCTGCAGCCCGAGCTCGACTCAGGCGGCTGCGGGCACAGCCACCTCCGCCTCCTGCGCGCAGGGTGGGGGCAGCGGCGGCGGCGGCGGCGGCGGCAGCGGCAGGGGCCGAAGCCCGACCCCCTGGGGTTTCAAGGCTATCCAAGGATGCACACCCTCCCCCCAGGCCATCCTGACTTCGGTAGCCCAGCCCGCCCCCGGCCCCTCCCTCTGGCTGAGCCCCTGACCCCTCCTGACCCCTTCCCAGCGGTCTCCCCCAAGAGCCCCTTTCCTCCCTCCAAACTAGCCTCTCGCAGGCCCATTCCTCCTGGAGTCTGACCCTCGCAGTCCCTAGCCCCCCAGTTGCAGTCTTTCTGTGGCAGGATGGAGCACTCCAGTGCCCAGCCTACAGGACCCCGTCCCTAACCAGAGGTGACACCCCCAGTGCCAGCCCCCTGAGCCACCAAGCACACCCCGGTAGAAGCCTTGCCTCTCCTCTCCCCAAGTCTGACCCCCACTCCGGCCGAGCCCCTGAACTACCTTCCTAATCCAGTTCCCTCAAACTTGGTCTCAGAGCCCATGTCCTCTCACCAGTTGGCCCGTCTGCCCATGGGGCCAGATGTCCTTTTCCAGTCCTAGGGACACGTTCTCCTTGAAGCTCAGTCCACTCTCCAGCCCTCCCCTCTCCAGGGGCCTAGCCTGTCCCCCTGTGTCCAATCCCCCTGTGTCCAATCCCTCTGGGTTCCACCCCCCCTGGGTCCCACCCCCCCTGGGTCCCGTCCCCCTGGGTCCCGTCCCCCCGGGTCCCGTCCCCCCGGGTCCCGTCCCCCCCGGGTCCCGTCCCCCCCGGGTCCCGCCCCCCCCGGGTCCCGCCCCCCCGGGTCCCGCCCCCCCGGGTCCAGTCCCCCTGGGTCCCATCCCCCTGGGTCCCGCCCCCCTGGGTCCCATCCCCCTGGGTCCAAACCCCCCTGGGTCCCGCCCCCCTGGGTCCAGTCCCCCTGGGTCCCGTCCCCCTGGGTCCCATCCCCCCGATCCCATTCCCCTGGGTCCTATCCCCCTGGGTCCTGTCCCCCTGGGTCCCGCCCCCCTGGGTCCCGTCCCCCTGGGTCCCGTCCCCCTGGGTCCCATCCCCCCGATCCCATTCCCCTGGGTCCTATCCCCCTGGGTCCTGTCCCCCTGGGTCCCGCCCCCCTGGGTCCCGTCCCCCTGGGTCCCGTCCCCCTGGGTCCCATCCCCCCGATCCCATCCCCTGCAGGTGCTGTCCCCACACGTCACGTGCCCTAAGCAGTGCCTGCCCCACACACACAGCCTGTCTTCATCCACCCACCACCTCTCTCTCTCACTTGGCCCACTGCCCCCACTCCTGCAAAAGCACCAGTGATCCCCTCCATCACCAGGAGACCCCCAACCATGAAGGCGCCACTCCGAGCTGGGTCCTGTTCCGTCCATGGGCCCTGGGCCCCACCGCCCTGAAGCATGGTGGCCATCTGCCTCTCATCCCCTCAAACTGTGACCCAGAGGCCAGCTGTGCTCTGAGCGTCTCCCCCATGAAGACCCCTTCCCCTTGGACCCTCTCAGCCCGCTCCCCCTTCTCTTCATGACCCTCTCCCCCCTGAGCCTGGGTCCTCAGGGACCCCTTCTCTCTTCAGGATCCTGCCTGCCACTGCTTGGTCCTCTGAACCCTTCTCTCCAGAACTCCATGCACCAGCCCGGCCTGGCACAGGTCCACCCCTCTCCAAGCTCTTCCCGTCCCCCACCCCCAGCCTGGCACAGCCTCCTCTGGGCTTGTCAGGAACCTGGGGCACAAAGTCAGCCTTAAATGCTGCTAACACCGGTTTGTGGGTAAGCCCTCCATTCTGACCCATGCTGGCCACACCCGAGGTGCCAAGGCCAGGGCCCAGACATGAGGGCCGTTGGGGTCTGTGGGGAGCCAGGGTTCAGGTCTCCCTCACCAACACCCACTGCCCCTTTGCGACCGGGTGTGGGGGCATCCAGACCTCCCTCGGGGGCCAAGCCTTCACTGAAGGGGCCCTTCAGCCTGAGTGGGGCCTGGGCACCACACCACTGGGTTTCCCTGACATCTCTTCCCCACCAAGGCTCTGCCAAAGACTCACCGGTCCTCTCTGGGCAGGGCTGTGGGGGTGACCAGCGGGGCCTGGTCTGCTCACAGCCCACCTGGTCCCAGGCAGCAGGCAAGGGGCACTGTCCCACAGGGTCTGCTCCAGGCCGCAGCAGGTCAGACCCCTCTCCTGCAGACCACGTGAGGCTGCTCTCTGAGGCCTCCACGGGCTCCCACCTGGGGGACCTCAATGCAGGGTATGGGCTGGAAGGAACAGAGCAGGTCCACATAGGCCCTGGGCTGGGGCAGAGCAGGTCTGCAGTGAGGAGCTGCTGTTAGTCACCTAATCTAGAGACTCGAGGCTAAGGGTGAGATTGGAGGCAGGTGTTGTGCCCAGGGTGGCCGCAGGGCCAGGCTCTGGGCAGGAGCATGAATGACCGCAGGGCCTGGGCCAGGGCTGGGGTTGATGCTGGGCAGGCCGTGCTGGTCCCCAAGTTCCAGAGCAGGGACAGAGGTACCCTCTGGAGGCCCGAGACTCCAGCTGGGCGGGTCACATGCATAGCGATTCCAAGCTGTGGGCCAGGGCCTTGGGACCTTGCCAGCCGAGGCGTGGCCTGAGCCATGAGAAACAGGCCCCTCCCGGAGGCGCTGCCCTCGGGCCTCGGAGCACACGGCTTGGATGACAGCCTCCCGGCAGCCCTGCCAGGTGCTGGTCTGCCCGCTCTTGCTCATATTTCAGGTGCAGAGAACAGGGCACGTGTTTGCCAGCCTCCTGGCTTCTGGGTGAGCCCTAGAGGTGCTCCCAGAGGCCCAGACCCCAAGGCCCGGCCAATGGCAGCCAAGGCCCTGCAGGCCGGAGAGGCACCAGGCCAGTGACGATGCCACGTGCCAAACTCCTATCCATCCCTCAAAACCTCCTGGAAAATGTCCTTTTTCCCACCCCTCCACAGAAGCCATAAACGGGTGGGAAGGAGTCCCTGCGGCCTGAGGGGATTCCTAACTCTGATCCCTGAACCCTGTGACTGTGACCCCAGGTGGGCCTGCTTGGCACTTGGCAAGCACAGGGCGAGGCCACTTCCAGAGCTGCTTAGTCCCACCAACCCTGCGCAGGTCCCTTCCTAGCCCAAGTGGGGTGTGTGGGAAATGGGGGAACGCAGGGCCCTGCTGCTGAGGTCTCCCCCAAGGGCAGAAACGTGGTCCAGGAAAGCATGGCAGCCACAGTACACGGTCTCCTGGCAAAAGCATTGGCTCACCAGAAGCCTGCAGCCCAGCCACACCCTGCTGGTCACTGCTCCAGGCCAAGGCACGAGCCAGCAACCAGCCCAAGCCTCCATCACCCCAGGTGCCGAGCACCTCCCAAGCAACCCCCTCCCAAGTCAGCCTCCCCCACACTGGGATCTAAAGCCACCCACCCCACCAGCACAAAGCACGCTCCACACACAGATCCGTAACTTTATTTCCAGGTCAACTTTGGCTCCCAGTCACTCAACAAGGGGCAGCCTCTGAGAAGGCCGGTGCCAGCACCCTCCCGTCCCCCTTCCCAGATGGGGTCAGGCCCCAGCATGACCCACCGGCCTCCCAGGGCTGGCTCGTCTCCTTCTTGCTGGCCCCAGGCCTCAGCTGGCCCTTCCTTGATGGGCCTGAGATGGACGGACGGGTGGGGGTGGCACTGCCCAGCTCCAGGCCCAGGCTGGGTGGAGAGGGAACCGGGAAGGCAGCCTGGTGCAGAGTGGCGGCTTGGCCCTGATGCTCAGCCCAGAAGCTCCGCCAGGGCATCAGCCCCCAAGGCCCAGGGGGGACAGGGTGGGGAGAGGGAGGAGGAAGCAGGTCCTGGGATGCACAACCGAGCCGAGCTGGGTGTCCCAGGTGAGTGAGAGGGCTCTGAGCACTACTGAGCCTACTGGCTGCCCTCAGCCCCGCCCTCCGTCAGACAGACAGACAGACAGACTGCAGGCAGGCGGCATTCTGCAACTGGGGAAGGGAAAACCACGAAACGGTGCCTGCCACACTGAGCGCCGAGCAGCTGCAGGTGTGAGAGTGCAAGAGTGTGAGTGAGTGTGAGTGTGTGAGTGTGGGTGGGCAGCCGGAAGGGCGGGCGCTGCCTCCTCCCACGACCC